TGCACGGAGAAAACCACCGAACTTCGGTAGTCTATGCACATGTCCAAGTGAGAACCAATTTTAACATCTTTCCAGATATGTCGTATATTTTTTGAAGATGGGGTATCTTTTAGTCTTGTCTACATTTTTGTGAAATCTCAAAACATCTTTGGAATAGGGTGTATATAGATATGTTCCCGTGGTAGATCTTACCTGAAAATATTAAAGACTCCCAACTACAACAAGTCAAGAAAACCAAGAAATCTCAAACACCTTAGAATTCCAGTCATTACTGAGGTTTGTCTGAGACTGATAATTTTCATGATTTTGTCATAGATTTCCAAGTTTTAAATAAAGACGATCAAGACATCTCATACACCCAGGATTTCCAGTCATTACTGAGGTTTGTCCGAGACTGCATGGTAACTTTCATGATTTTGACTGAGATTTCCATGTCTTACACTCTTGTGTGTGTATGATTCTTTTTTTTTGTCCGTTTAGTATTAAAAATGAATTCAAATACTTGCGGGTTTCTTTTTTGTTGTCTATTTTACCGTTATTTTAGAGCTAAGTTCTTTACCTGTACTAATTTTTATTGTTTATTCGTGCATTTGTATATGAGCTTTTTGTTTTTCCGCTCGTGGAGATTGAAAGGAACATAAATAACTTGAGTCCAAAAGAAAATAAAATTAGTTAAACCCCGCCACAATTTCATGTCTTCAGTCACGAACCTCGTCAGTGGTTGTCATATTTTATTATTTTTGATATTTGTAGAATTTAGTGTTGGTGGTAGATGTCTAGCAGTTTCAATTTAATTTATTCACAATTTGTATAGACCAGGACCGATCGAATCAGAGCTTGTTATACTGTATACTATAAAACTGTCTATTGGTGAAGACAGTATGTTGACCTCTAGATGTCTTTTGGTTATTTTTGTCATTCGATTGCTATCTCGATGACATTTACCTCATACCCGATCATATCCTTCTATACATCAAAACGTTAGGAAAATTGATGCATGATTTAATGTGTACACAAGAATATGGCATTACATAGCAACAACGTACATTGAATTTGTAATAGTAAAAGGGGGCATAAGCTGGTCATTTCATATTCACTGATTTGACTCAAATTCTCATATTTGATTTATAACATTCTAAAACTACCGTTACCAACTAAGTAAGACATCACGTGACCGTTGATAAAGTCTAAAATAAACAATTAACAATGCATGGACTCGACAATATTTGTCAGGGTTTTGTGTGTATTTTAGGCTAGACGCCATCTAATTAACCATCGTGATGACCTCCGAAGACTGTCGACGGACATATAACCCAATATAAACATAAATATAAATAGATATCGAGCACGTGCAATTGAATTTTTCTATGTCTGTTTGATCTCATATTATAGGTTAAAAAATATGTTAATCATCGTTTCTATTCCTGTATAAGAATGATGTTTTTTGTGGATCGATTCAGTCAACGAAATAGTTCACCCTTGTTTCACTTTCAATGTTGCCATTCGTTTCTGTTTTATAGCTGAACACGCCAAGTACTTGCGTAACCCATCTCTAGCTAAGGGGTTAAAATAAAGGTCACATGAAGACGGATTTACATGAGGTTGAAATATTGTCTTGCAAGTCAATAATACATCAGCGATATTTTTTTAGCTAATTTTGACTGCTTCTTACGAAATATTATTTCAAAATTCCACTTTTAAAAATACTTGAAACAAAACAAAAAAACGTATTTCATATTTTGTCTAAATTGTAGCTAATGCTCCTTTGACAAAATTACTAAAAATAAGGTTAGAAATCGGAAAGGGCGTTACCTGGAAATATCACACATCTAAGGGTAAATTTCCTAGTTTAAGTTTAAACATATTTAATTGTCCGAAAACATTGACAATAGCATCAGACACAAGTTTTGCAACTTAGATCGTCTTCTCCATTACATACAAATAATATATAACTGAGTCAGCAAAATAAAATGCATGTAAATAACATCATATATAATATTAATATGGAGATATGAAATGAACAAGAATTAAACGAAATGGCTCATCGATTTCTAAAGTCGAGTTGACCGTAAATTTATTTATCAAAGACCAAGTAGGATGTTTTAATCTGGAAATAAATATTCACTCTAAAGGTAAGTTTTTATTTTTAAAGCATTTAATTGTTGTTGTCAACTAATAGGATATTATATAAAAAATCAAATTGATGATCAATGTCTTTGGATAAATTGCACAATTTCATTCGAGGTCAACAAAAAGTAAATACACTGTAAATGCTTATATAATTAGCATAATGTCTATATACTATGTAAAGCGATTGGTCTCTTTAATATAATTCTGAACTTTGGTGAAAATTAACGTGTTTAAGTCTATATTATACATGTTATTACAATACATCCGAATTTTCAAATCAGTAGGTAAATTTTCTTTTCTAGGTTAAAAAAATAAGGTATTCCTTTGAACTGTATAATTTTTACATGAAAGGAAATAATGTTGAGTATCTTCATATAAATATCCACATTGACACATTGCGATGGGTTTAATATTTGCATGATACAGATCCATGTTAAGCGCACTGCATTTATTTCTTAATCTTGCGAGCAAAACATTTAAATATCTATTGCCAAATGTGTAAAATGTAGGGGATGATTTGTTTTTATAATATTTGTGTTTAATTTTTAATTTAAACATATTCAAGAGATTGTATTTCTATTACTGATATATCGAGAGAATCCCATAGTTTAATACTAGATGGAATAAAGGATTTTTGATAAAGGGACAATCTGCTGGGAGTTTGGTAAATATTTTGACTACTTCGTAGATTGTAATTAATTGTTTGTTTCTGCAACGGTATGAGGTATTAAATCTAATAAGTATTCTGGAACATCCTCATTCATAATTTTGTAAAATAGAGTTTTTTTAACTTCCCGTCCAATCTTCAACTTTTCCCATCCCGTTTCTAAATGGGAAAAGTTAAAGATTAGACAGGAAGTTTTATACTTTAAATTTCCTATCTCTGGGTTAACCAGTGAAAGGAAAGTGTGTTTGTACTCTCATCGAGGAGCTTGAGTTTGTGCGCAATATTTTTTGTTTATTTATCAGTCAATTCTGTAATTGACCGTGTTATAAAAGATCCATTTATGCGAGTTGTTTCCCTTCAGACTGAGAGGGACATACATTTTCATTGACAACGAAGAGCTAGCGGAAAGAGAATTCAAACATATCTGTGCGTAATCTGTGTAATTTTTTTTCAAATCTTTTAAATGCGTTTATTTTATTTTATTTATTTTTTTGTTAAGCTTAATCTTTTGTTAGCATTCTTCGTTTAAAAAAAATGATGGTTTAACGCCTATATATCACTTTCAAAATTATCATGCTTTGCATGGGCAGCAGCAGGCCAGTTTGTTCTGTTGAGAACCAGTCCATAATTGGCAAAGGGGAACAACCTGTGCTAAAAGTATTTAACTGTTATTGTCAAATAGACTATCTAATCAAAAGCAACCATGAAAATGTGAAAGCCTCCATTTACTTTCAGGGTCCCTGTTCTTTAAGTTTAGGGATAGAATTAGTTAAGTATAGCTCTGTCTGGGTTGGGACTCCTATAGTTGAAAAAAAACCCGGCAAAGTGAAGAATATGGTAATGGATATTTTATCAGTCCGACCAGTATTAGCTAGGGTGGCAGTTAAACATGAAAAATGTACGACATTCTAAAATTGATCAGTGAAGAGGTGAACATGTTTGAAGGAAAATTTTGAGGTTAAATTTCACGGAAGATCAAATATGTTTTGAAATTCCTTTAGTTTTCTTAATAGGATATTAAATATGTAAATTTTAATGAAACATTTTTGAATTTATTCATAAAATTTCCTTTTCACACGATAAAAAGTCATGAAAAATGTGATTTAAAGAAAGCATAAAAAAAAAAAACAGATTTGAAAAAGGGGGTGGGCAAAGAAAAAAAAAACCATAAGCATTCCTCGGCTCTGTGTTAGCGATTGCATCTGTATGAATCGCCGGTTAAAGGGTGTTTACATGAAATCAAACATCTCATTGGTACAGGAGAAATTATGAACATGGAACACAAAAGGGAGAAACCAAACTCCATTCTTTTACATTTTTGTTTGCAGATGGCCGTATTCTATAGACAACATTCTAACATGACGTTCTTCAAACGGTTTGAGTACACACCCGTGGTAAAATATGAATATATTGTTTGGGCTGTTCCGATCGTACTCCCGCGTCATATGCTTTTTTATGAATGAGCTACCCGACGTCATAGAACGATGGCGTAAAAAAAGGATTTTACGGGAAAATACACGCCTGTGAAACCGAAAATCATCACAACAAGGAAACGTAAACAAACTATGATAAAATGTGTTATATAAGCCTCTTTTTTTACATATAAGACATATAAATACAATTGTCATTTAGATTCATCCAAACCTATCTAAATATGTCATTGAAAATAGTTTAAGCATGCCATTTATTCAGTTTGCTCCGTTCTTTTACGTCAATTTAATAGTGCGTTTAATTTATTTATGGGAACGGCAAATAATGCCTTCACCTAGAGTGCTTCGATCCAAAAGAATTGCCGTATTTGTCCTATTAGAATCGAAATAATTCATGGGGGCTTGAAGATATCGTGGTTTTACCACGGGTTGTCCCTTTATGCCGATATTTTACCCCTCGCTATCGTTCAGGGTAAAATATTTGTCATAAAGGACCAACCTGTGGTAAAATCACGATATATTCAAGCCCCCATGAATTATTTCTTAAATATAATGTCAACAAGATCACGGTCATGACACGTCTACTAGTATTCAACAATGATATCGTGATATCGTGCTAAATTAATAAGTTTAAAGAATTATTGCAATTGTTTAGCACTCTATAGATAAGAAACCGACTAAATGTGAAACGTACGTTGTTGTATATGTTTTTCAAACTTTTTTATTGAATGTCTACTAATCAAGAAAAGATAACTCCATACTTACTTCCGGTTACCTCGATTTCATTGCCGGTTTTGGCGCACGTGTAAAATTAGCTTTTTTGTTAATTTTCCAGAAGAATGGGAGAAGAAAACTTAAGCAAAAAGTATGATGAAGCCCAAAATGTGTTTCACATTTTTTATTCATCTCTATTCTGTAAAACCTCACCTTTTTCTTATGCAGAGCAGAACAATTCACACAACTTGTGATTGCATCATCATGTCATCAAAAGTACATAAATAAATATAATATTAAACAGAAAGTAACACAAATTATACCAAATTAAAGAGAGAATAAAATCTGCATTCTGTTGATAACGTGAGCGGTCAAAAACCTGAAAATTGATTGATATTACAGGAAAACCCTATTGTATGTGGTTGAAAAATTATACAGCTTACCTTTAATGACAATTATATGACTAATTTTAGGATATAAGTCACTTTTACTCAGTTAAAGTTTGTGTCTTGTATGCAAGTTCCTTGTAAAACAATATGGACATGATTATTTAGATATATACCCTAGTCAAAAGTTACAACAATTTATAGACGTGTGTTTCTTTTTTTATTGAAGTTTCATGATTTCAATAGATCAGTTAATATACTCGAAAGATAATTCTCATATAAGAGATATAATTGATAGTTTTTTATTTGAGAAGTTGCATGTTACTACAGTAGTACAGAATACATTCCCAACCTTTGTCATGTTTGTAAAAGATGCATTGAATTTTTTTGCTATGGTTTTATATAATTGGTCTCTCAACTAAAGAGTTTTGACTGCCTCTTTGGTACAGGTATATTCTGTGCCTATTTCAACAATTATATATTTTCAATAACCTACTAAACTGAATTCCTAATATTTACCAATGTATTGCATCACCTCTTTTGTATATATGATGCAATGCTGAGAAAATTTTGTACCTTCATGTATATAAACTAAAGATAAACTGACCCAAAGTAAATTGTTTTGATAAATGCACAGTGAAATTAAGTAAATGGCTTCTTATACTTTAACTTTGTCCAAAAAGTAAGTTTTATAGAGTTTACAATGAATTCCAAAAATTATGAAAATGTAAATAATGTTTGTTGAAGTTCATTTGCATGGTTAATTTAATGAAACAGAAAGATCATGTAAAATCTGCCAAAAATTGATTTGATATTTTAATTATTATTTTTATTTACAAAAAACAACAAATATTCCAATGCAGCTACATGTATTGAGAATTATACTATGTTGAAAAATTCATATCATATCAAAAAGTAATTGTATGGTACATTGGACACCATAACTTGATATTAATCATTTCTTTGTAAGAACCAACTTTTAAGGTTACAACATGTACAAATTTCACTCGAAATTGAAGACAATATCCCTGATTAAACCCTCCTTTTTCCAAAAAGTGCATTTGTTACGAAATCAATAATACAAATTTTCACAGAAGTTATATTTTTGTATTTTTTCTATTAAAAATTCTCAATTTGCACTTAAGTCTAGTTATTTTTTTTTAAGCATTTAAAATGTTTCGCTCTGCATTGAGAAAAAGTTGTTTTTGGCTTGTCCAATGTTCTAAAAGGCTAGGAGGACAAAGATCTGATTTTCTATTAGCAACAAGAACCACACGTCTAACATATGCTCAATGCAGGTAATTGACAAAACTAAATGCCTAAAATATTATTAGCTATATAAAATTATTACCTTGTTCTCAGACACTGCCACATTGACATTTGGATGTGTATACATATGTACATGTCTATATATAAACCACAGTCTATCAAGTTTAAGTTTATATTGCATTTGTCAATGTTTATAAATCAAGTATACTTGCTGTTACATGTAGATTTATTTTAATCTTTTAAAAACTGAGAAACAAGTCTTTTTCTTCATCATTGCGTGTTGTGACGAACCTACTTCCATATATATTCACTGAGATACTATTTAAATACATTAATGAAAATGTGAAAAATTTTAGCTAGTGAAGGATTTATACCTTTTAAAATTTAAAACTTGATTAATTTATTTATCAGATACTTTAAGTTAAATGAATTCTTATCCTCCCTGGTCTTTTAGAAAGTATTGAGTGTCTAAGGAGAGCAAGGCCTTAAAATACTAGGATTCTAAGGATATTGAGGTGCATGGACATATGTAATATGTTTTCTTGATATAAAATAGCCCTTGTTTTAAACTTTTGAAAAATTATAAATGAAAAGTTCTTATAAGAGCTATAATTAGGTGCAAGTCAAATTGATAGAAGTGTGATAAAATCAGGGATTGGCACGATTACCGACAAAAGTAAGCGATAATTAATCGATTAAGGATTTTTGTATAATCGATTACGAATGTCCATCCCTGGATGAAATTTCACACAATTTCACACAATTTTCTGATTACAGGTACAATGTAGTCTGATTTTAGATCATTACAAAACTTTATTGACCAATATTTCACACAGATAATGTCATGTATGTGTTTTATAGTTTTTGTTTGAATCAATTTTTAATCAGCTGTGTCTATGCTTTGCTGACAACACTCTGTTTTACTTTTTTTTCTGGTAATTATTACATCAGTCAATGAAATTTCACCCTGCAAATTTTTGAAGGTGTGTATTAATCTGACAAAAACAGAGGATCCAGAAAGGTCTTTAAAACAGAAAGTAGAACAAATCGTTTACAGATCCTTGTAAGCAAAGCTTGAACATACATCATGTACATGTAGGATCTATATTTACAATGTTTTAATCAGATTAAATCAATATTTGATTTAGATTTGTTGAGGGCTGTTCCATAAAAACATATATGGGACCCAGAGAAGGCACTTTGAAATCTCTACTATGGGTGGGAGTCAAGTACAGTGGAAAAGTAACTGAAGTTCTAAATTTGCCTCTATAGGGGGTTACCCCATTATGAAAGTGCCATCCTTGGGTACCATGTATATTTTTATGGAACAGCCCTGAGCAACATCAGATTACTAATTAAAGACAGTAACTACATTTAAAAAAATACTCTTGGCTTGCAAAAATTTCACTTTTACTTGAAATCTAGTCTTCATGATGAAAAGAATTAAGACTGTAAGCTAGTAGAAATAGTTTTTCAACATTTTTTTAAAGTCCATGATAAGACATTTAATTACAATGTACACAACATGTAGCTTTAAATTTGGAGTGGGTCTAAATTAACCCAATCAATCACATTGATGATCTTTATGTTGCATCATTGACATTTGAAAAAAAGCAACAATTATTATATAAAAATAAATAATTGTAGATTGTGTTAGATTAAGTTTTCCTTGATAGAGATAACATGTTCAAAACCTTACTCAGTGTGTCGGTCCACAGTACACAACATGGTATATTCATGTGTCATTAACACATTTTCGTTCTTAATATCCAAGTCATGTTTGCTGCTGGAGCTTAAGCAGCCATCAATCAATCTAAACAGCTGTTTGAAGTCCCTATTCATAGATAGGAATTCTGTCAATCTTTTAAATGCTAATGTATTGTAGGGACAAAATGTTCAATGTATATTTTTGTACTTTCAGTGAACTTAAAAGACGGATGAAAGCAGAGAAAAAGGCTAAAGAAAAAGCTGAAAAAGGACTTCAAAACACACCGCAAGCTAAAGAATCAGAGAAGGCTGTTAAACCAAAAGATGATGAAGAAATTGACCCAAATGTTTGTATTAATAATTATACCACGCGTTAAAAAATACTGTTTTACCTCTGTCTGTCCGTCGGTCCGTCCCATGAATATTTTTTCGTCACATCTTTCTAAGGAACTACATCATAAGGATTTCTGAAATTTGGTTTCAGAGTTTAAATAAGTCAGCTATACAGTGTGATGCGTTTTCAGATTCATCACTCAACAACTTCCTGTTTACCGAACACTTACATATTTTTACACTATTAAAATTATCCAGTTGCGACGGGGTATCATAAGCGAGCAGTAGCTCACAGTTTCACTTGTTAGTTTAGTGGTGTTTTGATATTAACGATACAAAAACTAATTAGAATTTATTAGAATGACATATGAATGTACCTAATACACCTTCAATGATAACAGTTATTACCACTAGATCTAAATAGACTATTTTCATATTACCGACTTTTGACTCCGGATTATATAATTTATCGACTGGTTACCTTGGACATCATGGTACCAAGTCAGGTAAGAGCAAGCTAAAGAAGTAAAACCAAGCTTTCAATCGGTACAATTTGCGGGGGAAATTACCTGGTTAATATTTTTTTCACTACAAAATCATCGGAAAACAGTAAACTTTCCCCTCAAATTACACCGATTATATGTTTGATTTTACTTATTTTGGTTGCTCTTACTTGACCGAGTACCATGATGTCCAAGGTAACCAGTCGACAAATAACATAATCCGGAGTCAAAAGTCGGTAATATGAAGATAGTCTATTGGAAATACAGGGTAGAAGAACATGAGACAATATCCCAAATATTTAGAGTAAATTTAGGCAAAGAAATATATATTGATGTACATGTATAACTTGTATAATATAGAAATGCGAAATCTACAAAATTTTATATACCTTCACAAAAGTTGTCATGCTGTCGTCGAAGCTGAACAGTTGAACTTAAAGCAATAAAAAGATTAGCTTTGCCATGTTGTTTATGATCCCAATACATCACATGTTCTGACGCAACTTGACAAGCAAAACACTTTGGATATTTTCTCAAATACAAGTTCTTATTTATACATTTCTTAAAACAGAAATGTACTCACCAGTATATATTTAAATAATTTCATACCAAAAATTATAAACCTCTTTGGCATATTCCATGTAAAGAATTTGGTTGCCCTTTATGTTTATACAAAATGGAATAAAGATAACATTGTTTTTTACAGGAATACTTCAAGCTCAGGTCAAAATCTATTGCACAGCTTAAAGAAAAAGGAAATAACCCCTATCCACACAAATTTCATGTACAGATGTCACTATCCACATTTATTGATAATTATGACAGTATACCTATAGGAGAAACTAAGGAAGAGGAAGTCACTGTGGCAGGTTTGTGTACTATAGAATTGCTTTCTTTCTCCTAAAATTAGCTTAGGTCATGCAATATAAATATTCTGGTTCACAGAAACTTGCTTCTAAAAAATTGTTGAGGGAGGCAGTGTACTGTAAATTCAGAAATTATTGCGAGGTTTTTATTAATGCGAATAATGCGAGTGGATGAAGATTGCAATAATAAGAACTCGCATTCTGAAATCTGATACTTATATCTGTATGCAGATTTTCCTGAAATCGCAATAATTAATCTCGCATTTTAGTCCATTCTTCAAAATTCGCAATAATAAATGCACGCAATAATTTCTGAATTTACAGTATTTAAATCATGTAAATTTTGTGTGTAGATCAGTATTTTTTTAACACTGCTTGTATTCATGTTAAAGAATAAGACACCAGAGGGGGATTATAAAAAATCACAAAATCAAAGTAAAAACAAGAAAGTCAAATAGCTAGTTCGCAAAACATTTCAGAAAACTTAATTCTGACACAGAATCCTTTATACCTTCTTTGGTATGCTCAAGACCAAAAGTTCAAAACCCCATAACAGCCTAAACTGTCAATAACTTGAGTAAAAAGAGACATTGGGTATATGTCAATAAGACCCAAACCTAATAACAAACATTGACAACAAAAATCATAAATACATCCAGAAAGCTACATAGACAATGTCTCAGATGAATTAAATCAAGCTTGAATTTTGTAGTCCAGATAGATTTTGAGACTAATAAAGATCTGTAATCCACACCTATTAATCTCATAGATAACCTTTAAACAATATAAAAACAATTGAGTCTATGATCAACATTGCCTGAGGGAATTTCAACCTGCATTCTAGTACAATTACATTTAAACCTGTACCTTGACAGCTGTTAAAACGCATAAATTTCTTATAGTTTAATATAGTAAAAATATCTACCGAGGAGTTCAGAGACATCACTTTTGCTTTATTTATATAAAAGTTGTGATGTTGGTTGTACCAATGAAGCTCACATTCTTTGTTCCATTTATTTTATCTCAAAGTATATATGCAAAATCCCTCAAGCATTAATGGATGTCTAAACTTCTATAGCTACAAAATGACAAACAGAGGTAAAAACCTGAGTTCTCCAAATGTGTTAGAGTTATCACTCTTTGGCTATTTTGAAAGATGTAAAATTTGAGCATTTCCTTTTACTCATACACAAAATTCAGTACAACATAATTGTTATTTATATTTTACAGGAAGAGTACATGCTAAAAGATTATCCAGTTCAAAACTGATATTCTATGACTTGAGAGCAGAAGGAGTCAAAATCCAGGTCATGTCAAATGCAAAGTGAGTAACCATTAAATTCTTTAAGTCAAATAAAATGAAAAGATCGTGTAGAATAGAATTTTGAAGTACAAACATTTCGCCATTGTGTTTGTAAAGAGTTATTTAACATTATCTGAGGTGCATGTGACTGTGTAAACTTTAATTTTTCTGTGGCACATGTATTTTTACAGGGTGCTTCATATTTCGAGATTTATCCTGGCTGGGGTCATGTTGATTAGAATTATATATTTTTATATGCAAATTTTATTTACTCTAGGCCCATTCAATCATAACAATATAAAATATATTAATTCCATCGGAAAAATGAATTAGAAAATAAGTCTGAAAATGGCTCATTGGTAAAAAAAATTCCAATCATTGTTTACCATGTTTATCATGTTTATTTATTTATGTTTATGTAATGTTTTGTCTCTTAAGATTTTTTGAACCAGTAGACTCCTTTGATGAAATAAATGACAACATAAAACGAGGGGACATTATTGGTGTTGTAGGCAAACCAGGTATATTATTTCACTTGATTATAAAGAGTTCACAAAATATTTTTTTTTATTACATAGAAAAAATATTAACGACAGTATGCATGCTTTTGCTTATCCTACAAAAAATTTAGTGGTCCTTCATTTTTATACGACCGCAAAAATTGAAAATTTTTTGGTCGTATATTGGTATGACGTTGGCGTCGTCCGGCGTCGTCCGAAGACACATTAGTTTTCGCACTCTAACTTTAGTTTAAGTGAATGGATCTCCATGAAATTTTACCATAAGGTTCAATACCACGAAAGGAAGGTGGGGATTGATTTTGGGGGTTATGGTACCAACAGTTAAGGAATTAGGGGCCAAAAAGGGGCCAAAAATAAGCATTTTTGTAACTTCCAGACAATAACTTGTGTGTAAGTGTATGGATCTCTCTGACATTGTACCACAAGGTTCCATATCACAAAGGGAAGGCTGTAATTGATTTTGGGGGTAATTGCCTCAAAATTTTAGGAATTAGGGGCCAAAAAAGGGGCAAAAAACAAGCATTTTTCTAGTTTCATGACAATAACTTGTGTGTAAGTGTTTGGATATTTCTGAAATTGTACTACAAGGTTCCATATCACAAAGGGAAAGCTGGAATTGAGTTTGGGGGTAATTGCCCGAAACGTTTAGGAATTGGGGGCCAAAAAGGGGCCAAAAATAAGCATTTTTCTAGTTTCCAGACAATAACTTGTGTTCAAGTGTATGGATCTCTCTGAAATTGTACTGCAAGGTACCATACCACAAAGGGAAGGCTGGGATTGAGTTTGGGGGTGATGAATCATAAGGGGGTTCAAAAAATTTGGGGGGGGGGATTTTTTTTTTTCTTTTTTTTTTTTTTTTCCTTTTTTTTTTCTTTTAAAATTTTCCATTATAAGTTGGTTATTTCTGATTAATATTTAAAAGCAAATAATAATGATATGGTAGGAGATACACACCAAACAGGATGTGTAAATTATTATATAATAAGTATTGTGCAATAGCAAGAAATTTTCAATTGCACAGTATTGCACAATTGCAAGAAATCTTCAATTGCACAGTATTGCGCAATAGCAAGAAATCTTCAATTGCACAGTATTGCGCAATAGCAAGAAATATCCAATAGCACAATATTGCACAATAGCAAGAAATTGTCAATTGTACAGTATTGCACAATAGCAAGAAATATTCAATTGCACAGTATTGTGCAAAAGAAGATACTTCGTATAAATTGCTTATTTCTTGATCAATTTCAATGGGGTTTTATTCTTGAATTCTTGGGGTTCTTTAATATGCTGAATCTAACCGTGTATTAAGTTTTTGGATTTTGGGCCCCGTTTTTAAATTGGTCCACATTGAGGTCCAAAGGGTCCAAAATTTAACTTTGTTTGATTTCATCAAAAATTGAATTATTGGGGTTCTTCGATATGCCGAATCTAACCGTGTATTTAGATTCTTAATTTTTGGTTCCGTTTTCAAATTGGTCTACATTAAGGTCAAAAGGGTCTAAAATTAAACTTAGTTTGATTTTAACAAAAATTGAATTTTTGGGGTTCTTTGATATGCTGAATCTAAACATGCGCCCAGCGAAGCATTTTATTAAAATTGTAATGAGATATGCTACAAAAAAAGAAAGAATAAAAAGAAAAAAAAATGGGGATGACTTGTGGTCATTTTCCTGGCCTTGTGTCCTAACCGAACAAAAGTGAACCTGTCACCATCAGTCTTCTCATAATTATTTTTTGCGGTGGGGGAGAGAGCTGAACCATCTTTTTAAATTTCTCTAAATAGCATAGACCTTACTAACCTATAAGTGAAATAGATTATTGAAGACCAGATAATTTTTAGACAGGCCCTAATTGTTGGGCCTGTGATACATCATGAATAGTGTATGTTAGTTGGCAAGACTAAAAAGATATTTAATAGAATATATTTGTATCAATGATTGCATTTTTTGTAGGCAAAACAAAAAGAGGAGAGCTGAGTATTATTCCAAAGACAATAACATTATTATCACCATGTCTACATCAACTCCCACATTTACATTATGGTCTTAAAAACCAGGTAAGGACATAGCACAGGGGTCTATCCAGAATTTTTGAAAGGGGGAAAGTAATTTTAGACTGTGGAATATTAATCTCTGAGTAGAAGGAGGCGAAAAAATTTTGGACGATTTTAGATGAGATTATATATTTTTGGTCATCCATCTCTGGGTTAGCCACTGTTGAAAATAGAGAGACTTTTTGCAAAGGATCTTACTCAAATATCAACCAGTTAAAAGTACTTAGACTCTTCAAAATAATATTTTAGAGAAAAAAGGATGGTATTTAAGAGAAAAACCTTTGTGGTGCATCTGATTATCAAAATTTGCAGACAAAGGTATCTGATGTGTATTAACTTGTGGTTGGAAGTTTTTTCCTGAAGGGCTTGTTACAGTATGAATTTTTTTTCAAAAATGATCTATAGGGACGCTAGATTTGAAAAATTCAGGATACTGCTATATATATTGTGCATGTTAAATATTTTGTGAGTACTTGACAAATTGAAAACAATGTGCAAATTGCCACTAAAATTTAATACATATTAAACTATCTTTGATTATGTCTAATTTTTTACAATTAGTCATGCAAGGGTCATGTCCTTTTACTACATGTATCTGAAATTCAACCACTACAGTTGGTAGTACAGGCTGGCAGGTTATTGACAGTGGCTATATCACTTGATTCTATTTTTCTATGGGAAGAATAGAATTGTTTCTTGCAATATTTTTTTATTTGTCGATTTGTTTTACAGGAAACCAGATACAGACAGAGATATTTAGATATGATAATAAATGAACCAGTCAGACAGAAATTTATAACTAGAGCTAAGATTATAAATTACATTAGAAAATTCTTTGATCAACAGGGTTTCTTAGAGGTAAATACTTATAGGAGACAATTTTTATGTTGGAAAAGTAAAAATCTTGCTGATTGACAGCTTTTCTTAAAGGTAACCATTATTTATGTTGAAAAGTAAAAATCTTGCTGATTGATAGCTTTTCTTAGGGCTATTCCATTAAAATGTATGTGGGAGGGTAGGAAGGGACTTTCAAAATATCCCTACAACCAAGAACCATTATTTAGATAATTTTGCATAATGGTAATAGACGCATACTGAAAAAGACCCATGACCCACATTCAATAATTAAACTTCCCTTCCTACCCTCCCACATACATTTTAAAAGAATAGCCCTTAAAGGTAGACATTTGTTATGTTGGAAAAGTAAAAATCTTGCTGATTGATAGCTTTTCTAAAAGGTAAATATTATTTATGTTGAAAAGTAAAAATCTTGCTGGTTGACACCTTTCTTAATGGTAGACATTATTTATGTTGAAAAGTAAAAATCTTGCTGATTGACATCTTTTCTTAAAGGTAGACATTATTTATCATGTTTATGTTGGCAAATTGAAAAGTTGCTGATTGACAGCTTTTCCACAACTATTTCATTTAAAACTAGTAAACAAGATTAAATAAGTTAAGTGATATTTTTTAACCACTGTAAATCCATTTCTATAAAAAAAATTGTATAGAATCTTAAAATAGGATTGCTTTCAATATACAATATGTATTATGTCAAACCAAGCCTGAAAAAAACTCACTAATATAGTAACACATGAAAACATCCATTAAGAACTAAATATATAAGAAAGTTGCTAAGTAGAAAGTTTACATGACCTATCATTTGTCTATATTTTTACAGGTAGAGACTCCACTAATGAACATGATCCCAGGTGGCGCTACAGCCAAACCTTTCATCACACATCACAATGATCTTAACATGGACTTATATATGAGAGTAGCACCAGAACTTTATCTCAAAGTAAGTACCCTTCTATGATGTCAGTGTCTTACATGCCAGAATTCTTGCCCTAAATTAAGATTGATAAATTTCCAGCTATACTTTGATTTCTCAGCTTAATATTTTCATTTTTATGCACCTGCTGTAGCCGAGGGGGCATTAAGTTTTACCCTTGTTCTTCTGTACGTCCCAAAAATGTTTTCCGTTCTCTATTTTTAGTTTGCCTCAACCAAATGTTAGGAAACTTGTACGCAATGCTTATTACCACAAAACACAGATCAAGTTTCAACAATTTGTTAAAGTTTAAACTTTTGCATAGTTTACATGTTAAAGTTTGTGATTAGGTCAGTTTAAGGGGAACCACTTATGAAAAGTCAATCATATTTGGTATGCAGTTGTATTGGCATTGGCATTTCTCATTTCCATGGAAATTAGATGATCCTGAACATTTAGTCATGGTTCATTGACTTTGACTGTTTTTGCCTAGTTTACATACTATAAAGGTATTGTCATTTTGATGCCAATGTTTGCATTTTACAATCAATATTACATACGGGCAAAGATATCTCTGTGTCAACAGTTTATTAATTGGAAATGTATAACATATATCGGTTTTTTAGCTCACCTGACCTGAAAGGTCAAGTGAGCTTTTCTCATCACTTTGCGTCCGTCGTCCGTTGTCCGTAATCTTTTACAAAAATCTTCTCCTCTGAAACTACTGGGCCAAATTTGACCAAACTTGGCCACAATCATCATTGGGGTATCTAGTTTAAAAAATGTGTCCATGACCCCGCCAACCAACCAAGATGGCCGCCATGGCTAAAAATAGAACATAGGGGTAAAATGTAGATTTTGGCTTATATCTCTGAAACCAAAGCATTTAGAGCAAATCTGACAGGATGTAAAATTGTTTATCAGGTCAAGATCTATCTGCCCTGAAATTTTCAGATGAATCGGAAACCCGTTGTTGGGTTGCTGCCACTGAATTGGTAATTTTAAGGAAATTTTGCCGTTTTTGGTTATTATCTTGAATATTATTATAGATAGAGATAAACTGTAAACAGCAATAATGTTCAGCAAAGTATGATCTACAAATAAGTCAACTTGAACAAAATGGTCAGTTGACCCCTTAAGGAGTTATTGCCCTTTATAGTCAATTTTTAACCATTTTTCGTAAATTTTTGTAATCTGTTACAAAAATCTTCTCCTCTGAAACTACTAAGACAAATTTAACCAAAATTGTCCACAATCATCATTAGGGTATCTAGTTTAAAAAATGTGTCCGATGACCCTGCCCGCAAACCAAGATGGCCGTCATGGCAAAAAAATAATACATAGGGTAAAATGCAGTTTTTGGCTCATATCTCTGAAACCTGAGAGCAAATCTGATGGTATAAAATTGTTCATTAGGTCAAGATCTATCTGCCCTGAAATTTTCAGACCAATCAGGCAACATGTTGTTGGGTTGCTGCCCCTGAATTGGTAATTTTAAGAAAATTTTGCAGCTTTTGGTTATTATCTTGAATATTATTATGGATAGAGATAAACTGTAAACAGCAATAATGTACAGCAAAGTTAGATCTACAAATAAGTCAACATGACCAAAATTGTCAATTGACCCCTTAAGGAGTTATTGCCCTTTATAGTCAATTTTTTACAATTTTCATAAATTTTGTAAATTTTTGTAAATTTTTCCAAATATTTTCCACTGTAACTACTGGGCCAAGTTCATTATAGATAGAGATAATAGTAAGGAGCAATAATGTTCAGCAAAGTATGATCTACAAATAAGTCAACTTGAACAAAATGGTCAGTTGACCCCTTAAGGAGTTATTGCCCTTTATAGTCAATTTTTAACCATTTTTTGTAAATTTTTGTAATCTGTTACAAAAATCTTCTCCTCTGAAACTACTAAGACAAATTTAACCAAAATTGTCCACAATCATCATTAGGGTATCTAGTTTAAAAAATGTGTCCGATGACCCTGCCCGCAAACCAAGATGGCCGTCATGGCAAAAAAATAATACATAGGGTAAAATGCAGTTTTTGGCTCATATCTCTGAAACCTGAGAGCAAATCTGATGGTATAAAATTGTTCATTAGGTCAAGATCTATCTGCCCTGAAATTTTCAGACCAATCAGGCAACATGTTGTTGGGTTGCTGCCCCTGAATTGGTAATTTTAAGAAAATTTTGCAGCTTTTGGTTATTATCTTGAATATTATTATGGATAGAGATAAACTGTAAACAGCAATAATGTACAGCAAAGTTAGATCTACAAATAAGTCAACATGACCAAAATTGTCAATTGACCCCTTAAGGAGTTATTGCCCTTTATAGTCAATTTTTTACAATTTTCATAAATTTTGTAAATTTTTGTAAATTTTTCCAAATATTTTCCACTGTAACTACTGGGCCAAGTTCATTATAGATAGAGATAATAGTAAGGAGCAAGAATGTTCAGTAAAGTAAGATCTACAAACACATCACCATCATCAAAACACAATTTTGTCATGAATCCATCTGTGTCCATTGTTTAATATGCACATAGACCAAGGTGAGCGACACAGGCTCTTTAGAGCCTCTAGTTTTTTTTGCAATTTGATGACAAAATGGATAGGTTAAATTTTCACTGTATAATTTTTTAGGAACGGGAAAATACTCGCAAAAAATAACTGTATCGTATTGTTAAAGATGTAAAAAAAATAAACTTGATTGACTGACAGGTTATCGATTACAAATAAATATGACAACTACAAACTGAAATACACATAATTCTGAGAACTTATAAGGAACATAAATTATGTACATTACAGCATGCTAAAAATTGAAGGTTTGATCATTTGTGTGATGGTATAACAAATACAAAGATCCGTGGTAATGGTGATTGATTTTTATTTCATTTTTACATTAGGGCTATTCCAGAAAAAACTGTATGGGGGGGTTGGAAGGCACTTTATATTAATAATACATGGGTGATGGGTATCAGAGCAACTTTTCACACTATAATGCACTATGATTCTCAATTACAATTGTCTGGGTGGTGGGTTCTGACAAAAACTGCCTTCCAACCCCCCCATACATTTTTTTCTGGAATAGCCCTTATGTGCAAAATGTTCGGGTTATGACACCAATCAGTAGATCGTCACTTATAAACATTTTTTAAAATGTCACCGATTGCTGTGTTGTCAAAACTTGTAACATGTATGATTAGTCAATTTAATTATTATGAAAACAAATGAAAAAAAAAATTTAAATTAAGTATGCACATTCTTATCTGTCGAACAGCACAAATGACTCATTTTATATGTAATGTTATATCACCATTAAGGTGAATACTGAGTTTACATATCAATTTCGTGTATACTCGATAATTAACAGTATAATGTATGAAATTTTCTAACACCAATAAATCTTGGAATATGCAGTGAAATTTATGCAGGGTCAAATTTTCGCATTTCTTCAGCTGCCGCGAACAAAGCAAAAATTAAAAAAACAGATATACTTAATGGTAGTCTGAATTTGCCCTAAAGTTTGGCTTGAGCTGTTTTTCAATAGAAATTAAGGTAGAATTTGTCCAAAAATATTCACTGTTGGCCCTAACAATCTTAAGATTTGTTTCTGCAGAATTTAGATTTATAGGTCTGAGGTATAGGTATCTAAAGTTGTCAAATTCAGAAAGGATTTTGTCCAACAGCTGGGATGGTGTAAGGTTAATTTTGAAAGCCGGATCATTATAGCAAAATCTTTTATTTCACACTTACTTTTAAGAGTATGAATTTTATATAGGTTGAATTATGAAAAACTTTATCTATTATAAAAAAATCATATAAAATAATTATTGAAGTTCTTGGTTAGAAAGTTACACCTTAATGGCACAAATTGTCTTATACATGAAGAATACCTCATTGCATTGAAAATAATTATTTATATTTAAATTTTGACTTGAAAACTGTAGATAATCCAAAGTAAATTAATAGTAAAAATGTCCATTAAAAGTTCAGCATTCATTTTAGATCTATCTCCTTTACAGATGTTAGTGGTTGGAGGTATGGACCGTGTATATGAGATAGGCAGACAGTTTAGAAATGAAGGCATTGATTTAACACATAATCCTGAGTTCACAACATGTGAATTTTATATGGCCTATGCAGACTACCAAGACCTTATGGTGATAACAGAATCACTGGTATCTGGTGAGTACAATTAACACCTTGTCAACTACAATAGAAATGCTACCAATAATACTTAGTAACTTAGCAATAGTACTGTCAACTCAGTTTAAAACAAAAAAGGAAAAATGATGTAAAGACAAACAAGTTCACAAAACACTACATTAAGATAGTAGTTACAACATTTGAAACATATTTGTGGTCTTTTGTGACACATATATTCCGTAACAGTTCACCAACTTGTGATGGGGTCTGTAAATCTTTCGAATAAAAAGTGCATCTTATTAATTAACATACATTTGCTTTCCTAAAAAAATTGTATTCATGAGTCTTTTTAATCAGTAAGCCACCAGTGATATTGTTTGCCTCAAATTACAGCCGAAATTCGGCTTTTTCCCCTAGAGAAAATTCCCAATTACTAAAAAAAATGGCTTAAAATTCCTCCCAAAAAGTTTTACATTTTCCCCAAACAGTGATGGCATTGGTAGTAATGATTGTAAATATCGTATTCATGTTATTATTTTGATATTAGAAAGCACTTTTGAGATCCGGTTTTCTGATCAGAATCATCATGGTGTTTGTAACACATGTGGTTTTCAATGCATTAAGTACCATCATTGCTTACGTTTCTTTCCCCTCTTAGAAAAGTACCTTTCAGGTTGAAAATGTCTGACAACCAAAATATACATGAAAAAACAGTGCAAAAAAGACTGCAAAGGTCGGCAAAAAATCGGAAATGTGTTTAGAATAAAATATACAAATTTCCCAATTTCAATAAAAAATATGCATTTTTCCCAATAAAAAACGGTAGAGGTAGTTTTGAAAAAAGACAACAATATCACTGGCCACAACTGATATATCACCAGATAGATACTTAATTGAGGCAATAAATGTTTATGAAAACAGAGATAGAAGTAACTCAAATATGCAAAAATATTGCTTGGTTAACTACATCATCATCACTCGTGCACATGCTTTTTAAACATTTTATTTACAGGTATGGTAAAAACATTAACAGGTGGCTATAAAGTACCCTATCATCCTGAGGGTCCAGATGGACCGGTATGGGAAGTTGATTTTACACCACCATTCAGAAGAATTAAAATGATTCCAGAATTAGAGTCAAAATTGGGGGTTAAATTTCCAAATCCTACAGAGTTTGGCAAAGAGGGTAGGTTTTTTCAAGTGAAATGAAAAAGTCTGAGCTTAGTTTTTGTTGTCTTTTGAAGTTATCAGGTTGAGTAGTAAATCTCCTAGCTTGCTGTGTCTTTAAATCAATTTATAATTTTTGTTATCACTACAAAACCGTAAATAAATGCACAGTTCATTGTCTTTATGAGAAGTAAAACTCTCTAAAAACAATATCGATTATAGATTTTGAAAAACAGTGGATTTTGGTTATTTGCATAGCCTACTTTCTAGAAAAATAGAAATTTAATCTGATTTATTTATGACCGAAATCATAATTTTTTTGTCATGCCCGAGTGGAATTAGAGTAAAACAATGATAAACTAGGATCCACACGTACATAATTTGAATGTTCAGATAATTGTACATGCCTGATCTTGTGTAGCAAAGGCATAATGAAGTGCTATTGTTGTAATCAATTACATAGATAAAATAATTTTTTAACATCTTTTCATAAAAGGAACATGAGATAATATTTTATTCAGGTACTTTAAAATTGAAAAGAAAAGAAAAATTAATTTAAAATCACACATTAATTTTATGAAACTCTGTTTGGTATCAAGGACAAATTTCACTTTTGGTAAAATGTGGCTTTGAATATCAACTTTATCATAAAATATCACAAAGGCTGCAATTAATTGGTTATTAAATGGATCCATTCAAAAGCCTATTTGCTAGGTAAACAAATCTCTTCGTTATTGTACCCTCCAAAGTCAGAACATTTTAGCCCTGTCGAAATAAGCATAGAGCATGACATGAAAGAATTATTCCTTTTTTCTTTCAGAAAGTAGAAAATTTATTGATGATCTATGTAAAAAACATGGTGTAGAATGTACTTCACCCAGAACAACAGCCAGGTTATTAGACAAAGTAAGTGCATGAATACACTTCTCATTCACCTCAAATAAGGGATCTATATATAAAAACTAAATAAAATTTTCTGATCCTTAAATTCTACAGGAATTTTCATTTGTTAACCAGTTGCAGACCAAACATGCCTCTTTATGTAGTTACCCCATTTTGAAAGTGCCTTCCCTGGGTACCATGTCTGTTTTAACAGAACATTCTTAATTCCCAATGGATGCAAAACAGTCATCCATTTATAAATTATTAATGACCAAGATGAAAATTCACAATTTTTGTAAGCAATAATTATGGATGGTATTCATTTTGTTATTAAGTTACTGGCATGTTAATTTGTCTGAATTGTATCAGCCCATTATCCTTTAAATTCTGTCAAGTAAGGCCATTTCAAATTAATTTTCTGGTTCTCTGATCCACTACAGAGTCAGCCAAAAACCCTCCACTGGCTTGAATTTATTGTCAATCCAAAATAAATGAAATGTGTAAAAAATCTTTGTTGTTAAAATTTTACCGTTTTTAAACTATTCAAAGAGGAATAACTCTAATAACATTTGGAAAAATTCAGGTGTTCCCTCTGGTAATAAGAAGTTTTAGACTGCAATCATAACTCGTAAATTTTTATTCATAGAAGAATGAAGTTTCATTTCCTCTGACTGTGACAGCCTCATATAGCAATATTTACATGCATGTACTACAGATAAAAAGCAGGTGTGATTGACTCAAGGGGGGGGGGGGGGGATTTAAGGGGAAGCAACAAGCAATTTTTTATTTCGGTTGAATGTAGGAGGTTTTAAGTTTTGATCCAATAATATTTTTGAATTTTACACTTTATGCAGTCAAAACTCATGGTTAGTTGAGGTATTAAACTGAAATTGACTACATGGCTTTCTTCTTTGCAATAAAATCATGTGTTTAAAAGGAGTGCTTTAAATACTGTTTAGGATTGAAAACAAAAGTAAAGGTTCAAATACATGTTTACATGGAAACTTATGTGTTAAATCAACGGTGAATCATTTCTCTATTATTGACAGAATATATATCTTGTGAGGTATCAAAAACTTGGTCAATATTTTGTATCAAGTTAAAAGAGATTTTTTGCTCTGGCCATTGTTAACAATTGTTCATTGCTTTCAATTCATGTTATTTTTTTTTCAGTTAGTTGGTGAATATATAGAAGAAGAGTGTATAAGTCCAGCCTTTATTACAGAACATCCCCATATTATGAGTCCATTAGCTAAATGGTAGGTATTTTGTTTATACTGTCTCTTATATTAGAAATATCTAAAACTTACTGTTGACAACAAAGTTATCAATTCTGTCTGTGTATGTCACCTGTATAACATAGCGTTCAGCAGAGGAGTAATGGCAACAACATTCAATTCTGGTTGAGGGGTGGTGGGGGCATACGGGAAAAGAGTACATACATTTGGGTGGCGTCACTTTTACCGTTCTCAAGTTATGCCCATTTAAAATGTTATATGCAAGTGGGGGCATTACACATTCTCCATTTATTTCTGCTTTCTTCAAAAGAAAAAAAAAGGTCCAAAAAGGGGATGATGAGTTTATAATAGTAGGATTTTGTTTAGCTTCAAAGTATTAAGGATTTATCCTAAAAATAGAAAAAAATTTATTATGGCATGATTAGATTTAAGATCAGCTAGTTAGGAACATATATCTTCTCTAGCACAAATATTTTAAAATTTACTTCCAATAGATTACAAAGGAATATTTACATTTAAAAACTTTACAATATATATTTAGCTTGTTTACAACATTTCAAGATTATGACTTTTTTTGAAGGCATAGATCAACACCAGGTTTAACAGAAAGACTAGAAATGTTTGTTTGTAAAAAGGAGATAATTAATGCATATACAGAGTTAAATGACCCTGTAGTACAGAGAGAAAGATTTGCACAACAAGCTAAAGTAAGTTTTAAACTGAGAGACTCTTTTGTTCAAATTTTACTGTTTTCAGACACAAAATGCTTTATGTCAAAGCTAGAGCAAAGAGAAGTTGACTCATTGTAAATTGATAATTTATTTTGCATACAGCTTACTTTGATGTTAAATCATTTGTCTGTTGGAAAAATGATTTGAATTGGAATTAGTAGTTCACAGCAGTATGAGCTTAGTTTCTAAGTTCATAAATATGCCTTCATCTGCATTTAAACAGGAATGGACTGAAGTACTCAATGGTCACAATAAAGAATTAACAAGCAGACCAGTTTAACAATTCTGACTGCAACAAGTAAAAGATAATTTTGATATGTGCAGTCATTTTGCATTTAGATTATTTTTAGCATTTATTGTAATCTGTAACATTGTTCTGTATTAACTTCTCCATTAATTTACATTTTTGAAAAAAATTCAAAAAAGTTTTGAAATAGAATAGTTGCTGGATTGCATTTTATTGAACTTTTCAAGTACAATTGCACAGTAAATGAGAAGTATGAGATTAGTTCTTCAAGTAGATCGGAAGTCTTCTGTCATCTTTGATTGTGAAATAGTAGAAAACAATTGGTCTAGATCTTCAATGAAATATGCAAATTTTGATAGAAGAATGTAATTCAAATTGTAAGACCATCCATCTAGATGAACAATACTATGTGTTAATATCTTCTATTTTGGACCGCTTTTACGTATACAGAATAGTTTTTGTTTGATTCATTCCCCCTAAATTTACCTTAACTGTTATTATATCCCACGCAAAAAGTTGCTCAGGGTATAATGTTTTTGACCCGTCTGTCCGTCTGTCCGTCAGTCCGTCAGTCCTGTTTCTTGTCATCGCAACTCCTCTCAAACCACAAAACAGAATTTCACGAAACCTTTTTAGATAATAAGGACATACTATGTAGTTGTGCATATCGACAGGAAATTACAATTCAATTTTTTTTCTAGGAGTTACGTCCCTTTGAACTTATTTACTTTAATGTACTACTGCAACAGTTTGTCATCTCAACTTCTCTGAAACCACACAACAAAATTTCATGAAACTTTGTAGATAATAAGGACATACTAGGTAGATGTGCATATCGACAGGAAATTACGATTCAATTTTTTTTCCAGGAGTTACGCCCCTTTGAACTTATTTGCCCAATATACTACTGCAACCTTTTTGTCATCGCAACTCCTCTCAAACCACACAACAGCATTTCATGAAACCTTTTCAGATAATAAGGACATACTACGTAGATGTGCATATCGACAGGAAATTAAGGTTCAATTTTTTTCCAGGAGTTACGCCCCTTTGAACTTATTTGCCCAATATACTACTGCAACCTTTTGTCATCGCAACTCCTCTCAAACCACACAACAACATTTCATGAAACTTTGTAGATAATAAGGACATACTACGTAGATGTGCATATTGACAGGAAATTTCAATTTTTTTCTAGGAGTTACGCCCCTTTGAACTTATTTGCTTCAATATACCTCTGCAACAGTTTGTCATCGCAACTCGTCTGAAACCACACAACAGAATTTCATGAAACCTTTTTAGATAATAAGGACATACTATGTAGTTGTGCATATCGACAGGAAATTACAATTCAATTTTTTTTCTAGGAGTTACGTCCCTTTGAACTTATTTACTTTAATGTACTACTGCAACCTTTTGTCATCGCAACTCCTCTCAAACCACACAACAACATTTCATGAAACTTTGTAGATAATAAGGACATACTAGGTAGATGTGCATATCGACAGGAAATTATGATTCAATTTTTTTTCTAGGAGTTACACCCCTTTGAACTTATTTGCTTCAATATACCTCTGCAACAGTTTGTCATCGCAACTCCTCTGAAACCACACAACAGAATTTCATGAAACTTTGTAGATAATAAGGACATATTATGTAGATGTGCATATTGACAGGAAATTACGATTCAATTTTTTTTCCAGGAGTTACGCCCCTTTGAACTTATTTGCCCAATATACTACTGCAACCTTTTGTCATCGCAACTCCTCTCAAACCACACAACAGCATTTCATGAAACCTTTTCAGATAATAAGGACATACTACGTAGATGTGCATATCGACAGGAAATTAAGATTCAATTTTTTTTCCAGGAGTTACGCCCCTTTGAACTTATTTGCCCAATATACTACTGCAACCTTTTGTCATCGCCACTCCTCTCAAACCACACAACAGAATTTCATGAAACTTTGTAGATAATAAGGACATACTACGTAGATGTGCATATCGACAGGAAATTATGATTCAATTTTTTTCTAGGAGTTACGCCCCTTTGAACTTATTTGCTTCAATATACCTCTGCAACAGTTTGTCATCGCAACTCGTCTGAAACCACACAACAGAATTTCATGAAACTTTGTAGATAATAAGGACATACTAGGTAGATGTGCATATCGACAGGAAATTATGATTCAATTTTTTTTCTAGGAGTTACACCCCTTTGCACTTATTTGCTTCAATATACCTCTGCAACAGTTTGTCATCGCAACTCCTCTGAAACCACACAACAGAATTTCATGAAACTTTGTAGATAATAAGGACATATTATGTAGATGTGCATATTGACAGGAAATTATGATTCAATTTTTTTTTCTTATACAATTTTTTTATCTTAGTTATTTTACTTCTCCAGTGACAATGTGGGGACGTGGGGTATGTGAGCGTGCTCACTAAGGTTCTTTAATTAGATTTTCAATATCTTAAATCTGCATTTTTAAATGATTTCTTTCATTGAACTGTTCAAACTGCACATCTATTTTTATAAAATATTTACATTTTTCTTCTTTTTTAAGTGTCTTTATTAAAAATAATTCTGTGAGGATGATGAAATGATACGCTGGTACAATCTTTCTCTGATTTAATATCTCATGAATCTTTTGTGTTTATGATCATCCTGAACATGCATGAAATATTTTTAAAATCAAGCAACCGACAATCAATCAATTTGTGTTTGTTTTGTGTCCTTGCTGATCTGTATAGATTGTTTCCAGTATTTAGAATGGTAAGTTGATATCGTTATGAATATTGCAGGATAAAGCTGCTGGAGACGATGAAGCTATGTTTGTAGATGAGAATTTTTGCACGTCCCTAGAATATGGTCTACCGCCAACAGCTGGATGGGGTCTAGGGGTTGACAGATTAGCTATGTTCCTCACAGATTCTAATAACATAAAGGTAAACAATTAATGTTTATAGCTGGGAAGATTTGTAATATACAGATAAGTATCACTTTAAAAATCTGTCTTAATTTATTTGTATCTATAGGCTAGTACTTTCAATAAGAGGCATACTTGAAAATTGTTATATGATTTCCGACAGAAGTATTAACCTCAATTCATCCATACAAATTCAATGTTCCATTTTTTATGGTTTAAGATAAAGTTTTTTGAAGATTTAATACTTTGGTTTAGCTTTAGAATTCTGAAGTCTCCTTGATTTGTGGTTCATTGTACCCTTGAAATCCAATAAATTAAAAAGTGAATAAAAAGAAATAAATCAACTGTAGGATAGATTATTTAATGTTTTATAGCAGCAATCAAAATAATGATATTTTCTCTTTTTAGGAAGTGTTATTATTTCCAGCCATGAAACCTGATGAACAGAAACCACCAACCAAAGAAGGAGAAGAAGGAAATGAAAGCTAACGCAAAAACAATTCTTAAGATCTTGTTATTTATTTATTATTTTTAAGAATCTTAATTGCATGAAAATTTTCTTATAATTATATGTAAGATGTTTTCATAAAGGCCGTTTGTTAAAAAGGATTCTTGTTTCATGCAGGATTTTACAAATGACACTTGCAGTATATCATTTGAAAATAGCAGATTTCGTACAACCTTTTCTTAACATAAATAAAATTTTCAGGGATTAGTATAAAAGAAGAAAGAAAAGAAATGTTTTATTTATGAAATAACAAAAACTTATATTTAGCACAAAAAAAACTGGCACAACATTGGGAACCCAGTTTTCTGGTAGGTACTTTAGGTTCATTTGAGGGGCTAAACAACAATGAACAAGGTAACTATCACACTTTTTTTACAGTGTTGATAAGATTATATGTACAATCCTTTATTAAAAGATCATATTTTTTTGTGATGTTTAACAATGAAGCTTAGACGTCAAATAAGCAATCCATAGAATTACTTGGATTTTACCATAATAAAATATTCTGTCATTTTGCATGTAGGACAAAAATGGCATTTGTATCACATATCTTCAACCAATTTCTTTGTATTTGAACATTGTAATTTGAAGAATGAGAGGTTTTGGGAGCTTTTTGTTTCATTATTTTCATCAGTGTACTTAATATTGTTTTAGTATGCATATTTTCTTGAAATACTTATAAATTGAAAGACACAAAATATTCTGAATTTAGCAGTTTATATTGAATAGGGTTTTTGCTAAAAAAAAATAATCCTATATCAAGCTAATTTGGAAAGTGATTTCAATAGTGAAACCAGCCTTAACAATACAAAGCTTATATTGAAAACATGCCTGAGCTCTTATACTACATGTAGTACAAACAGTCAATTTTCTTTAGCATATGTAATTTTACTTGTGTAAAATAAACACCTGTATAATCTTAAGAGAATCTCCTATTCCTTTAGGGGTACTAGGTACACTTGTGTCAATGTATTTGGAGATGAATATGGGGTTATCTTCAACCAAACTTTTTTAGTATAAAAACTGACATGAAATAACTTTTTATTGAATTTTCTGAAACTGTACATTATATTTACTCAGTTCAAGTTTATTATTATGCAGCAGTTTATTGTCACATTCAAAATTAGTAGTGACTGTCGCATAAATCAGTTAATTGCATTGTGTCTGATAGCAACATAGACAGAAAATGTTAAAGTGTACTTGATTCTCTAAAATTGTGTACAGGATAAAAAAAACAACAAGTGTATATTCAAATTGAAATTCCTGAATTTATTTCTGTTTTATAAACATAAGTTGTTTGAGAGAAAAATAAAAGTGCTACATATTTATATAATAATGTGTTGTTTGTATGTGAATGTTAAATGCAAGTCTGCATTTTGTTGTAAACCAATCTTTGACTTAATCCACCTGCCCATCACACATTTTAACTGATTATAACTTTTCATTTACTAACAATAGGATTTTTGTCGAGCCTGCGACTTTTGTCGCAGAAAGCACGACATAGGGATAGTGATCGGCGGCGGCGGTGTTAGCTAACTTCTTAAAAGCTTTATATTTTAGAAGCTAGAAGACCTGGATGCTTCATACTTTGTATATAGATGCCTTATGTTACGAAGTTTCCGTCTGTCATATGTCCATTGTCCTTGACCTCATTTTCATGGTTCAGTAACTACTTGAAAAAAAAGTCAACTTTTTTTGTAATGTTAATTTCTTTCTTATTATGAGTAATAACTATATTTAGTATGTGCGTACCTTGCAAGGTCCTCATGCCCGTCAGACAATTTTCATTTGACCTCCACCTCATTTCATGGATCGGTGAACAAGGTTAAGTTTTCGTGGTCAAGTCCATATATCAGATACTATAAGCAGTAGGTCTACTATATTTGGTATATGGAATGATTGTAAGGTGTACATGTCCAACTGGTAGGTGTCATCTGACCTTGACCTCATTTTCATGGTTCAGTGGTCAAAGTTAAGTTTTTGAGTTTTGGTCTTTTTTTCTAATACTATATGCAATAGGTCAACTATATTTGGTGTATGGAAATATTTTATGATGTACATGTCAGTCATGTAGGTTTTATTTGACCTTGACCTCATTTTCACCATTCATTTCTCAGTGTTAAGTTTTTGTGTTTTGGTCTGTTTTTCTTAAACTGTAAGCAATAGATCAACTATATTTGTTGTATGGAAGGATTGTAAGGTGTATATGTCTGTCTGGCAAGTATCATCTGACCTTGACCTCATTTTCATGGTTCATTGGTTAATGTTTAGTTTTCATGGTTAAGTTTGTTTCTTATATACTATAAGCAATAGGTCAACTATATTTAATGCCTAAATTGATTGTGAGGTGTACATGTCTGTCTGGCAAGGTTCATCTGACCTTGACCTCATTTTCATGGTTCATTGGTCAATGTTAAGTTTTCTTGGTTAAGACTGTTTCTTAGAAACTATAAGCAATAGGTCAACAATGTTTGGTTTATTGAATGATTGTAAGGTGTACATGTATTTATCGTTTGGTTTATCTGACCTTGACCTCATTTTCTTGGATCATGTTAAGTTTATGTGTTACTTGTAGTAAAGCTTTATATTTAGGACTATCAACATAAAATCAATGGTTAGTAAAGAAGGCGAGACATTTCAGCGTGTGCACTCTTGTTGGACTTTGTTCCAGTTTTGATCATTTATCCGGTCTAGAGGGCCAACAAAGTGGCAGTATAATTTAAGTCCATCAATATTTGATTCTGATCTTATTAAACTGTAATATGTAACCAGAACTAAATTCTTATTTTATACTAAATTTACCCCCACTCAAGGAGTGGTAGTTATATCTCCTTGTCAGTTCATAACTTATGTGACATCTACCTCAGCTTCTCAGTATATTAGTACATTGTGGGCCACAATGGTCTTGTGGTAGTGTGCTTACCTTGAGGGAGATCAATTCCAGGCCTGGTCAAACCAAAGACTAAAACGGAATTTGTTGCTTCTCTGCTTTGCATGCAGTACACAAATGTATTAAGGAGAAAGAGTAAAGACTGGTTAGCTGGGAGACAGAACAATGTTTCTGGGTAGGGTGACATGTCTTCCTGTGGACTGTTACATTGTAAACTAGCATGTTAATAATCCAGCTCATCTTGTCAATCTAGTACAAAGCAGGCTCCATATTATTATTAACATAGTGTGGTAGTGACCTAATACAATATATATGGGATGAGATCGAAGCCCATATGGAATTTATTGACCACATATATATCATATTAGGTCACTAGCACACTGTAACGAATTTATCTTAACGACTATCTTTATATGTGGTTTTTGTCCAGCCTTCGACTTTAGTCGAAAAAGCGAGACATGACGATTTTACATTCCGTCGGCGTCGTCGGCGGCGTCCACAAATATTCACTCTGTGGTTAAAGTTTTTGAAATTTTAATAACTTTCTTAAACTATCCTGGATTTCTACCAAACTTGGACAGAAGCTTGTTTATGATCATAAGATAGTATCCAGAAGTAAATTTTGTAAAAATAAAATTCCATTTTTTCCGTATTTTACTTATAAATGGACTTAGTTTTTCTGCCCGGAAATATTGCATTCACTGTGTGGTTAAAGTTTTTAAAAATTTTAATAACTTTCTTAAACTATCCTGAGTTTGTACCAAACTTGGAAAGAAGCTTGTTTACGATCATAAGATAGTATCTAGGAGTAAATTTTGTAAAAAAATAAATCCATTTTTGTCGAGCCTTCGACTTTTGTCGAAAAAGCTAGACATAGCGATCCTACATTCCGTCGGCGTCGTCGGCGTCGTCGGCGTCGTCGTCGTCGGCGGCGTCCACAAATATTCACTCTGTGGTTAAAAGTTTTTGAAATTTTAATAACTTTCTTAAACTATCCTGAATGTCTACCAAACTTGGACAGAAGCTTGTTTATGATCATAAGATAATATTCAAAAGTAAATTTTGTAAAAAAAAACATCCATTTTTTCCGTATTTTACTTATAAATGGACTTAGTTTTTCTGCCAGTTAACATTACATTCACTCTGTGGTTAAAGTTTTTGAAATTTAATAACTTTCATAAACTATCCTGGATTTCTACCAAACTTGGACAGAAGCTTGTTTATGATCATAAGATAGTATCCAGAAGTAAATTTTGTAAAAAACAAATTCCATTTTTTCCGTATTTTACTTATAAATGGACTTAGTTTTTCTGCCAGTAAACATTACATTCACTCTGTGGTTAAAGTTTTTAAAATTTTAACAACTTTCTTAAACTATCCTCCTGGATTTGTACCAAACTTGGACAGAAGCTTGTTTATGATTAAAAGCTAGTATCCAGAAGGAAATTTTGTTAAAATTTTGTTCCATTTTTTCCGTATTTTACTTATAAATGGACTTAGTTTTTCTTCCAGTTAACATTACATACAGTCTGCAGTTTAAGTTTTTAAAGCATTTATTAGATTCATAAACTATCCTGGATTTTTACCAAACTTGGACAGAAGCTACTTACAATCAAAAGATAGTATAGAGAGGAATATTTTTATTAATTTTTTTCCTCATTTTTGTTGAGCCTGTGATTAACAGCAAAAGTAGGCGAGACACTGGGTTCCGCGGAACCCTTACGAATTTTTAGACTAGTGGCCTATCAAAATGATCAAGTCTTCAATATAAAGAACCTACTTCTATTGGTATTTATAAAAACAAATGCCAACAATAACAACTTGATAGCCTTTAATGTGTTTTCTAGAAATATATCAATCTTTCATCATTGAATTCTTTGTTTGTAGAAACATTTCAGATTTTTCCTCAACGCCGTCTTGTTTTAATACAGGGACGTAACACCACTACTAACTGTGTATTAGAATAAGCCCCGCCTACTAACCCCATATGAAATATACACGGTCTACACGCGGTAGATTTTAACCAATGAAAATCCTAGAAATGTATAGCAGGTAAGATAAATATTCATATTGCATTAACATATTCTTGTCCTGAATATGCATTTAATTTGCTGTTGGATGTTAACAGCCACCCATCATCATTATGCATATTTGATGTTTGACTTAGAACTGGATGATTTTACTTACCTTTTATATGGGATATCAAATAATTTTTATTTTAATTTTAACCATTGTGTAGGACAACCAACATGGCTGACATGGTAAATAATAGAACCTGGGGGGGTAAATTGCAATTTACTTGTTTCTTCTTTAAAACTTTTGTCCATTTACATCACAAGAGTGCACACGCTGAAATGTCTCGCCTTCTTTACTAATCATTGATATTATGTTGATAGTCCTAAATATAAAGCTTTATTACAACTGTCACATACACTTTACATTAACCAAGCAAACTAAACATTGACCAATGAACCATGAAAATGAGGTCAAGGTCAGATGAACCATGCTAGGCAGGCATGTACAGCTAACAATTCTTCCATACAACAAATATAGTTGATCTATTGCTTATAGTTTAAGAAAAACAGACCAAAACACAAAAACTTAACACTGAGCAATGAACCTTGAAAATGAGGTCAAGGTCAAATAAAACCTGCGTGACTGACATATAGATCATAAAATATTTCCATACACCAAATGTAGTTGAACTATTGCATATAGTATTAGAAAAAAAGATCAAATCTCAAAAACTTAACTTTGACCACTGAACCATGAAAATGAGGTCAAGGTCAGATGACACCTGCCAGCTAGACATGTACACCTTACAATCATTCCATACACCAAATATAGTAGACCTATTGCATGCAGTATTAGAAAAAAAGACCAAAACTCAAAAACTTAACTTTGACCACTGAACCATGAAAATGAGGTCAAGGTCAGATGACACCTGCCAGCTAGACATGTACACCTTACAATCATTCCATACACCAAATATTGTAGACCTATTGCATACAGTATAAGAAAAACAGACCAAAACACAAAAATTTAACTATAACCACTGAACCATGAAAATGAGGTCAAGGTCAGATGACACCTGCCAGCTAGACATGTACACCTTACAATCATTCCATACACCAAATATTGTAGACCTATTGCATACAGTATAAGAAAAACAGACCAAAACACAAAAACTCAACTATAACCACTAAACCATGAAAATGAGGTCAAGGTCAGATGACACCTGCCAGCTAGACATGTACACCTTACAATCCTTCCATACACCAAATATAGTAGACCTATTGCATACAGTATAAGAAAAACAGACCAAAACACAAAAACTTAACTATAACCACTGAACCATGAAAATGAGGTCAAGGTCAGATGACACCTGCCAGCTGGACATGTACACCTTACAGTCCTTCCATACACCGAATATACTAGACCTATTG